TAATTGGTTTGTTTAACTTTTCTGTTTCTTCCTTGGTCAGTCTTGGAAGGTTGTATTTTTCTAGGAAGTTGTCCATTTCTTCTAGATTTTCCAGCTTGTTAGCATATAGGTTTTCATAGTAGTCTTTAATAATTCTTTGTATTTCTGTGGAGTTTGTTGTGATTTTTCCATTCTTGTTTCTGATTCTATTAATATTTGTTGATTCTCTTTTTCTCTTAATAAGTTTGGCTAGAGGCTTATCTATTTTGTTTATTTTCTCAAAGAACCAGCTCTTGGTTACATTGATTTTTTCTGTTGTTTTATTCTTCTCAATTTTATTTATTTCTTTTCTGATCTTTATTATGTCCCTCCTTCTGCTGACTTTAGGCCTCATTTGTTCTTCTTTTTCCAATTTTGATCATTGTGACATTAGACTATTCATTTGGGTTAATTCTTCCTTCTTTAAATATGCCTGGCTTACTATATACTTTCCTCTTAAGACTGCTTTTGCTGTGTCCCACAGAAGTTGGGGCTTTGTGTTGTTGTTGTCATTTATTTCCATATATTGCTGGATCTCCATTTTAATTTGGTCACTGATCCATTGACTATTTAGGAGCGTGTTGTTAAGCCTCCATGTGTTTGTGAGGCTTTTTGCTTTCTTTGTACAATTTATTTCTTTACTTCTCTCCCTTCTTATTCCTCTCCCTCCATTCTTTATATGTTGGTTGTTTTATTCTATACTCTTTTGTGTTTCTTTTAACTACTTTTGTGGGTAGTTGATTTTATTTTTTGCCTTTAGTTAGTATTTGGTTGGTCTGCTTTCTTTGCTGTGATTTTATCTTCTCTGGTGACATGTTTAATTTTAGGAGTGCTCCTGTGTAGAACAGTCCCTCTAAAATACCCTGTAGAGGTGGTTTGTGGGAGGCAAATTCCCTTAACTTTTGCTTGTCTGGGAATTGTTTAATCCCTCCCTTGTATTTAGATGATAATCGTGCTGGATACAGTATTCTTGGTTCAAGGCCCTTCTGTTTCATTGCATTAAATATATCATGCCATTCTCTTCTGGCCTGTAAGTTTTCTGTTGAAAAGTCTGATGATAGCCTGATGGGTTTTCCTTTGTAGGTGACCTTTTTCCTCTCTCTAGCTGCCTTTAAAACTCTGTCCTTATCCTTGATCTTTGCCATTTTAATTTTTATATGTCTTGGTGTTGTCCTCCTTGGGTCCCTTCTGTTGGGAGTTCTGTGTGCTTCCATGGTCTGACTGATTATTTCCTCCCCCAGTTTGGGGAAGTTTTCAGCAATTATTTCTTCAAAGACACTTTCTATCCCTTTCTCTCTCTCTTCCTCTGGTACCCCTATAATGCGGATATTGTTCCTTTTGGATCGGTCACACAGTTCTCTTAATATTGTTTCGTTCCTGGAGATCCTTTTCTCTCTCTCTGCGTCAGCTTCTATGTGTTCCTGTTCTCTGGTTTCTGTTCCATCAATGGCCTCTTCCATCTTATCCATTCTGCTTATAAATCCTTCCAGAGATTGTTTCATTTCTGTAATCTCCCTGTCTCGCTCCAGACGTCATCCCTTAACTCTTGTATATTTCTCTGCAGCTCTGTCAGCATGGTTATGATCTTTATTTTGAATTCTTTTTCAGGTAGACTGGTTAGGTCTATCTCCTTCTCAGGGGCTGACTGATTTTGGTCTGTCTCAAATTATGCCTTTTCATGGCGATAGAGATAGTTTGCGGAGCTGGCGCGAGTGATAGGCTGGGAGAACGTCCCTTCTTGTTGGTTTGTTCCTTTCCTCTCCTGGGAGAACAGCAACCTTTAGTGCCTTGTGCTGGGGAGCTGCACACAGATGGGGCTTCTTATTCTTGCCCGGCCGCTATGAGGTTTAGCTCTGCGGTTGCTGTGGGCGTGGCCTACCTCAGGCTGCTTCTCTGATATGGCGGAGCTGCATTGTTGGGGAAACGGCTGGAAGGCTGTTTGTCTCCGTGAGGGGCCTCTGAGGTGCACTTTTGCCTGGCGGGTTAGGGTGCCCATAGTTCCCTGGGATTCCCAGCTGCTGGGCTAAGTGTCCCTGGATGTTTCTGTGCAGCTGTGGGGTCCCTGTCCTTTAAGACTTTTGAAAAGCACTCGCTTTCTTTGTCTCCAGGGCACTGGCTGCGGGGACCCGCTCACAGGTCTTACTGTCCTGTTTCCCTAGTTTCCAGCACCCCACGCACACACTGTGTCTGCGCTCTGGTGCGGATGGCTGGGGCTGGGTGTTTAGCAGTCCTGGGCTCTCTCTCCCTCCCCTCTCTGACTCCTCTCCTCCTGCTGGAGGCTGGCGTGAGGGGTGCTCGGGTCCCGCTGGGCCGCAGCTTGTATCTTACCCCCTTCACAAGGCGCTGGGTTCTCGCAGGTGTGGATGTAGTCTGGTGCACTCTTGGCTCCGCCTTCCTTGTTCCTTTTTATTCCTTTTTCTTTCTGCTATTCAGCTATTGATTCCTTCTTATGTATTTTTCTTTTCTTTTTTTTTTCTATTTTTATAGAGGTTCTTACTGAGTTCATCCACTCTTCTCTCAAGTTTGGTGAACATCTTTATGTTCCTGATCTTAAAGAGGAAAAAAGTTTCTTTCATCATTGAGTATGATAATAGCTAGGGGCTTTTCATATATAGCCTTTATTATCTTGAGATAGTTTCTTTTTATTCTTAGTTTGTTGAGTGTTCTTATGAAAGGGTATTGAATTTTGTCAGATGCTTTTTCTGCATAAATTTCACATGATCCTGTGGTTTTTTTGTCCATTTTGTTATTGTGGCTTATTACATTGATTTTCATGTGAAACCATCCTTACATTCAATGGATAAATCCTGCTTGGTCATAATGTATAATTCTTTTAGTATGCTGTTGAATTTGGTTTGCTGTATTTTCTTGAGGCTATGTTGCATCAGTATTCATCAAGGATGTGGGTCTGTAGTTTTCTTGTGTCTCTGGCCTTGGTATCAGGGTGATAGTAGTCTTAGAAGGAGTTAAGTACTTAGTATTCCCTCCTCTTTGATTTTTTTGGGAAGAGTGGTAGAATTTGTGTTAACTTTTGTTTAAATTTTTGATAGAATTCACTAGTGAGGCTGTCTGGTTAGGATTTTTCTTTGTGGGGAGGTTCCCCCCCCCTTTTTTTTAATGAAATCTAATTGTGTTAGGAGCTTTCTGATTACTGATTGAGTCCCATCACTCTACTAAATTAAGTCTATTAGACTGTTTCACGATCCAAGCTTAGTAAGTTATGTATGTCTGGGAATTTGCTTCATCTAGTTTATCCAGTTTGTTGGTGTACAGTTGTTCATAATACTCATACTTTTTTATTTCCCTTTATGTGATATTCCCTTGTTTCTGATTTTAGCTATTTGCATCTTCTATTTTTCTCTTAGTCAATCTAGCTTTACCTTGGTTTTGATTTCAGCTAGCTTTAAGTTTCATTCATTGCCTGATTCTTTAAGGTATAATTTTAAGTTGTTGATTTGGAAACTTTTTTTTCATGTAAGCATTTTATTAACTATGAAATTCCCTCTTAGGACTGCTTTCCTACATCCAGTAAGTTTTGGTGTTGTATTTTAATTTAATTGTTTTTAGATGTTTTCTGACTTTCCTGTGTTTGTTCAATTTCCACATATTTGTGGATTTGATTTTCTTGTTTATTTCTAGTTTCATTTCATTGTGATTAGAAAGTACTTGTTCTATGATTTGTCTTTTTAAATTTATTAAGCCTTGTTTTGTGGCGTAACATAGTATCTATCCTAGAGAATGTTTCATGTACAATTGAGAAAAATGTATACTCTGCTGTTGGGTGGAATGTTCTATTCATGTCTTTTAGGTCTGACTGGTCTGTACTGTTAAGTACTCTGTATCCTTTCTGATCTCTGTCACATTGTTCTATTCATTATTGAAAATGGGGTACTGAGTCTCCTGTATAGGGTTGCTGTTTATTTTGCCCTTAAATTCTGTCAATGTTCCATGTTTATAATTGTTACATCATCTTGCTTAGCTGCTCCTTTTATCATTATATAATATCTTTGTCACTTGTTAATAGTTTTGACTTCTGTCTGTTTTATTTGATGTTAAATCTGTCTGTTGAGAATAGACATGAGAGGTGTTAAAATTTCACTAACATTTTCATGTAGATGAGAGAAAATCAATAAACCTAAGGAGACCTAGCCTTGAAACAGGAAGGCAGTGTCTGCCACCTCTCAGAGTTAAGGGAAGTTAGAATGGAAAAGGGTGATGTAAGTGAGCATCATATGCTGAGTGAGCCTAAGCCTTTCTGCCTTAGACAACATTGGTGAATGAGTAGTGTGGCCCTGTCAAGGGTTTTTAGGCAGGAGGATTCAGAGAAGTGTAGGAGGTAGGATTAGGAGGGAAATGTTTTCTCTTAAGTTACTGATTACAGGGCAAAGCATAGCTAAAAGGAATGAGTAAGCTAGTTCTAAATTAAGACCAAAAAAAATGCCCTCAGACCCTCAGGGCAGAGATTTCCCTCATCCCCTTCACCTTTAATATATGACCTGGCTTTTTTCAGTACAAATACATGAAAAGTAAAAGTGAGCCTCATGTTAAGATCGAAGGGAAGGACACTGATGACTGGCTCTGTATGGATTTTGGTAAGTTATTTTAGCATACTTTACAGATAAATATGTGGTATTGCACTAATCTTGAACTGTTTTCTATTGCAAAAGGATTGAGATCAAATTGCTAAGTGTTTTTTCCATTAACAAATTTTAAGTTTTAATTATAACCCAGGTGGTCTTACTCACATGTGAAATCCTTACCTAACCTGATAATGTAACTAGCCACAGATGCCTGAAAGATGGTGAACAGGATGGAGAGATCCCTTAATGGTAGCATAAGGTGGCTTGGCATACATATAACCTTGTCTTTAAATAACTCAGATGAGGTAAAGGGCATTCTAGGCACAGGGGAAGACAAGATAGAGAACTGGAATTTTGAATAGAACTAGTGAATTTGGGTATTAATATATGCAGTTTCAAGTATTTCCCCACAAGATACTTACTAAACAGTAATAGTTAAGAACTGTGAAGGGTCTAAGATTTTATCTTCCTTGTAAGTTACTAAAAGTTGGCCAGTTTCATGGGTATTGGTAAAAGACTATTCCAAGGTTAGAGATGGACAGTTTATTACTCTGAGCAATGGCAGTATTTTTTGCACCAGGTTCCCCAAGCCCTCGTTTCTGTAGAGTGACACAGGGCTTGATGATACCTTCTCATACAGTTAGTTCTAAGAGAAAACCTGAGACTAGGGGATCATCTTCTATAAATGGGCAGGCAGCAGGCCTGCATTTACTCTGGTGGAAGACATTTTCTGCCAAGGCTGTTAAAGAGTTTCTCGGCTTCATCACTATGAACATTCTGGAGCCAGTAATCCTGGTGGGGGTGGGGAGAAACATCCTGTGAATTGTAGCATCTTACTATTCTCCCTTCTTCTCTATACCACCCAGTTGTGAAAATGTCCCTTATTGAGAACCACTGCTGTAAAGCAAACCTACCCCTTGTTCTGGAAGGAATGGTTATTTCTTTGTGAAACTATTAGCCACACAAATATCTTTGAAAAGATTGTCAAGAACAAAAGGCAGGCAGTACTTTGTTCCCAGGCTGTGTATAAATGATATCCATGGAGAATTGTCTCCCAAGTGAATCCTGACAGACCTCAACTTTAGTCACCTGGATAGTGTTCCATCACCAGCAATGTTACATCATGTACCTCCTGTATGATGTACTGAGAAAACCTCTGTGGTATTTTTGCTAGATGGTGGTCCACAGGTTCCCATGTAATGATAATCTGGGATTCATCTTTGAGAACCACTGCTCTGATTGTCACAGAGGTTTGTGTGACCATAAGGATAAAAGGAAATGAACTGCTTCATTTTCATTTTAACTCTTATCTGTTGTTGATAGGCAACATGGTGATTCACTTGATGCTTCCAGAAACCAGAGAAACCTATGAATTAGAGAAATTGTGGACCCTACGTTCTTATGATGACCAGTTAGCTCAGATAGCTCCTGAAACATTACCTGAAGACTTCATTCTTGGATTAGAAGATGACACTTCTTCCCTGACTCCAGTGGAGTTCAAATGTGAATAAATGCACTGCTTCAGTCATTTCAGATTTGTACTGAATCACTTCTCAAAGCATAGCTCCTAAACCCCACCTAGTTGGTTATGTCGTTGTGAATCTTTGGGTACTCTACAGATATGGAAACTGTGAGTCTTTACACCAAGAATCAGTACATTCAAACTAAAATTTTAATAATATGTATTTATTCCTGAGATCCCAGCAGGACTTCCTGAAGTAATTACACTGGCTTCGCTGGAGCTCTCTGCTCAGAGTGTGAAATGGTGTAAATCTTACTCTGTAGATATTTAAAAAAAAAACAAAAACTCCTAAGTATCCCCAGTGCTCCTAATAAAATCTGCAGTTCTTAGCTCATATGCAACAGTCTATATATCACAGTTCACAGTTAAGTGCTAGGCAATGGAGAAAATTTACTAGTAGATACTGATGGTACCTTGAGATTGACAAAGTATTACTAAAAATCTGGCCAACATTCATATTGATTTAAAAATCAGAAATACATACTACACACAGGCTGCACCTAATGATGAAAACCTTTATTCTGCATCAAGGTATCTGGAAAATGAAGCGGCATTTGGGGCACATTACAGATGAGGAATGGTCCATATTTGGTAAGTACAAAACTCAATTACAGAATTATTCCCTAGCTATTACCAGATACTCCATTACCAATGCTTAATTAAAAGTAAAACATGATTTGCCACACTAAATGGCTGTAAGTGAAATATATAGAATTTAAACCAGCAGATATAAATGCAGCACCATCTGTATGAAACAAATACAAATACTGGAAAAATCAAATACTGAGGAAGAGCTCTGGCCTTAAGCACATCTCACTTGAAAAATCCAACCAGAAAACCAGTCCTTTTTTTTTTAAGCAGTTCACTGTATGAAAAAAATAATTATGAATGCCAGGTGAATTCAGTGATAAAAAGGGCACTTTTGGGCTAACACTACAAAATAAACTGGTTTTTTGAAAACATTTAGGAAAACATTTCAAGTCATTTTCAAAATGTCTAATACGGTGATTTTCAGAAAAACTTACCCAGTCAGTGTAGAAATCCACCTTGAAATACAAATGAGGCAAAATGGGTTATTATATATATGCCCTGTTCAGATCAGTATAATACGATGACTGTGATCATTTACTAAACAAAAGCAACAAAATTTGAGAGTCGTATGGCCTTTGGAGACCATGCACACCCACATAATTGTACATACCAGGCTTTGTTACCAAATTAAGGAATAGACAAATGAGTTCAGTATCAAAGGGCAAATGTTTTATCACACTCATTCAAATTAATTATACTCCAAAAATTGTTTTCTTGTATTCTCTACCTTGACTTATTTTCAAATAACTGATGGCAGAGAATACAGAAATCCTACTGCATTTTATGTAATATTCTAGGTGGCTTTTCATTTTTCTTGATGTATCATTTAAAAATCTTCAAAATAGCTTAGTGAGGCTTATAACAATGCCTGGCACGTGGAGATGTAGCCTGTTATTGCTTTTAAACACTCACATTCACAAAGCATATCTTCTGGGGTCTGCTCAAAGCAGAGATCAAGTGGTCTGAAGTGTACTGGCAAACTCAGCATGCTAGATGACAGCTACAACTTGCTTTTTGCCAGTCAGTTTAAAGTCCACAGGGGCTGCATCTCTTCACGGATGCTTTTTCTTTAGGTAGTGATAGTCCAAAGCACAAAGCATTTCCATGCATTCAATCACATCGCTAAACAAATCAGAGCCATTTAAACTAGCCATTCCAAAACCTCCTGCAACCACTTTGCTCTGTTAGTACCATCGAAAACTTTCTCTACCATAAATGAAAAAATGGTATTGCTGCTCTCCAAATATAGGCACTGCTGCACATCACTGAACATTTATTGTTTTTTCCAACTAATATCTGTGTCAAAAGCCTCAAAAGACCTGAAATCAACTTTCCAGCTTTACTGTCACCAGCCAGAAGTAAAAATTTTTTCTCCATTATCTGCCTGTTAGCTAATTAAATTTTAACTTTATTTTTTTAAAAAACAGGTGGACTTTTATCTTTACAAAGTATATAAAATTTAAAAAAACAAAACAAAAACAATTTTGCTTCCATTGCATTACTGAGAATACCTGAGGTAGTTGAGTAAAAATGCACATTTAATACCCCTGCCAACACCATTCAGCACTTCCCTTAGGTTATCATGTTAGTGTTAGATAAAAATAAAATCAAGAACAGTTTTCTAAGCTAATGGCTTAACATTTAAGGTCCTGTAATCTATTCTGATCCAATTTTAACAGTTGGACATAGGAGCAATCTATATTTTATGAATTTAGTGAATGTATCATACAGCCAACTTCTGGCATTATGGGGGATTAAGAAAAATGAGAATAGTTGTTACACTGAGAATAACAACAAAAGGGAAGTGCAGAGCTCGTTTCTTTCCCTCCCCTCATTTTTTTTTTTTTTTTAAAGCTGGGTGTCATACATTTCAGAGAGCATAAAGTATACATTCTCACAGAGACAGTTCAAAAGTTGCCTGGTCCTCAGAAACAACTGGCTAGGTAGAAACTTGTGCCTGTGATTCCGGATGGGGTTCGAGCGCCCGTCTGTCTTTGGTCTGGCGGCGGCCCCTGTGGCTGCCGAGCCTCACTTGCGCCGTGGCTGAGGGGGTCCGCCCTGCACACCTTTGTGCTGCTGGTGCTGCCTCACCTGAGTCAGAATTTCCTGAATTTTCCTCTGGGCAACCTACGAGAGGACAGAGCTTTGAAATTTCTACCTTTTAAAAATTAACTACGTTATTTTACTCTTCCATTTCAACTTGAGAAATTTATTTGAAGATTAAAGATACATACTAGTTTGCTAGTAAGTCTTTGAAATCACCAGCTAAAAGGGTGAGTAAGTGTTTAGCGCCAAACAATTTACACGAGATGGGGACACCCACAGAGAACTGCTTATCCCATCAGAGCCCACTTGCCTGGCACGCGTAAAAGTGACCAGTTATTTTGACAATCACTTGGTCATTCTCATCAGGTGTCTGGTCACGAGGGACAACAACTTCTGCACTTGACAAATTCTGGAGCTCATTCACCTGAGAGAGAAATAGGAATCATGTTAAGTCGAGGTGACTTCTTAAATCAACTATTTCCTGAGCACTTACTACATGCCAAACACTGAGCTGTGGCTTTACAAATTTCATCTAATCCAGCAATAATTCTGTCAGGTTATTAATACTGTCCCCATTTCAAGATAATTAAAACCAAGTCTTACCCAAAGAAACCACTTGCCCAAAGCTATACGTATAAGTGAATGGCAAAACCAGATTCAGACCCTGAAAGTCCGATTCCAAAGTGTATACTCTCTATCACTTCAAAATTGTAAATAGCTCTGAAAACAACTTAGAAGTTACAGATGTTAAAGACACTAGAAACCATTTGCCTTTTTCAGTTTCAGAGGTGTAAGGGTAGATGAATTTTTTTCAAATTTTCATGTCATTTTGTGATAAAATTTAATAAAGGTGGAGTTAATATGAACAGAAAAATGCTAAATGTTCCTTTATAACTATGAGCCGATCCTCTCACACAAAGTGGTCTGGAAGAGAGATGCATTGCTTTTACTAGCAGCTGACACCAGCACTCAGGAGGAACAAAAGGCAGTCTTCTGCAAACCTTGGCCCAGATGATCCTGCCTTTTATAAGTTAGCCAAAATTCAGGGACTTGGAACGCCTAAGTACCTTTCAATGCTTTCCCTTTCATACCACTGCACAGGTTTTGCTGAAGTACTTGCCGTTTTGCCTCCTTTTCCAATAACTCTGCCAGCAGCAAAGGATGGCACTCTGATGTGAGCTTCAAGTTTCACCTCTTCTTTAGGGCTAACAAAGTTTTCTTCTTTAATTTTTCCATAAATTCTTCCCTGAGCCTAGAGATGAAAACATATCCTGTCAGTGTCATTCATGTAAGCAGTGTCATGAAGGATGGCCCAGATCCACTGCAATAGCTCTTCACAGTGACACATCTGCCTTTGACAGGTTGTTGAATTGCGAGTAAGAGACGGAGACGTTAGGAAGCCCTAGAAAAGGGTGACAGTAACAACTACACGGCACAGATAGGGTCAGTTGAATGATTGATGAAATAAAAATAAGCCATATTCTTCTGACACAAACAGTGAAAGGTAATTAGTAGGCAGCCTAACAAAAAAGTTTTTGTGGGCAAGTGGCCATTTTCTCTCTATTGCTGAAAGGTTAAAACCTCTCCTGATGGCAGTAAGAAAGTAATTTGTAAAGGACTGGGAAAGAACTACAGAGCTAGCTATGGGAGGTTCACACACAAGAAGCCAAGCTTGTGTGTAAATAGGCCAGTGAGCGACCTGCTGGGAGCAATACTTTCTATTTAAACACATTTCATCTTAGTCAGGAGGTTTCTGGCTACAAAATCAAATTAACATACCTTCTGATATTTATAGTCAACACATCCTGTCACCTATGGCATAGAACTAGAAATTATACAGAAGAAAAACTCTCCTATTACATACAACCATTAATTTGCTCTGGTATATTACCAAAGGAAAAAGAAGTCAGAGTTGCTTTAATCTGACAAGCTGCCAGGCAAACCACAAAAACTAAAGTACCCAACACATCTTCACTGATGCAGAAATGATAAGCTAATTTTAGGGGATTACAGAAAAAAACATCCACTTGGTACTCTATCTTCCTTTCACCCTGAGTCTCAGGTCACAGGTATAGCATAGTCACAGGATAAATCCCAGGGACATACATCATCCAAAACAAGCTCCTGAATTCATAAAAAAAAGTATGGGTTAGGAATCTAAAATAAATGTTACTTAAGCATTATAGCTTTTCTTCATGTTCCACTGAAGACAGCTATACAATGTGAACACCGGAGGACACAGGAAATGGACTCTGAATTTCCCAGCATTACAGAATTGCCAGATAGTAACTCCATTTATAAAACAGTAAGAGCTCAGCACCAAAAGAAACATGCAATGACTAGTGTTTGCATTCATCTGTTAACATCTCAAACTGCAAGTTACTGACCCTATAGGTTTGGAATACCAACAATTTCCAACATTTCTGAGTTAAGATTTGAACAGCCTGGACCACAAGGCTGGTATGAGAGAGTAAATTTCACCTCAGTTTGAGCCTAGCCAACTGCTCAAACCCACGTCTTAAAGCATCTCCTCTTGTTTCCTGTTCATCCTGTAAATGAAGTGGAAAAAGCTTTGGATTTTTAGTGAAAAATGGCCCATAGAAAATGGAGATCAAAGAAAGCCAGTGTTACTAGCTACGTTTTAGAGCTAAGGGAACTAAGGTTGAAGTTAAAGTGTCCTGTTGAACAGCTGCTAAGTAGTAGAAACAAGACGTGGGGTTTTGGATAAAGTAGTTACATCAGAACAGTAGTTGCTTTTGTCTTGTGACAAGTCACCTGTACAAAGTGTTATGATAGAAATTATATCCTGAAAGGTATGTAACGAAATGTGAATTTGAGGATTTGGCAGGGTCTTAGATTTACCCAGAATCTGAACACAACACCAGCACATTTATATTGTGCTTCCAGTGTATCAGGCAGTATTCCGAGCACTTATATGCTTAAACCATAAAACCTTGTGGATGCTCTTATCCCCATGTTACAAGTGAGGAACTAACCAGAGAAAATTTAAGTAACTTGCCCAAGGTCACACAGCTGTTAAGTGCTGAAGCTGGGATTTGAGCCCTGCTATACCTGCGTGTACACTTCAGGACACAGCGAGAGGCATTCCAGTCCCAAAGGCCCCAAATCCCAATAAATACATGCAGTGGTTGGCACCAGGACAAATGCCAGAAGAGTTCCTACAGTTTTTGCCTCAAATTTGAAGGATTAGAGTGATCTGAGGAGAGACTGTGGACAAGGGCTAATAGAGTTTAACAGAGTTAGCAAAACAAGGTAAGAGGGAAAAAGGCATTTAATTTCAAGGTTTAACAGGCCTCTCAGGGACAAGAGGAAAAACTGGGACCAAGTTTTCCAAGGCCTATTCATTAGAAGGTTTGTAAAATTTCAGTCTAAGGTCTTAAATTTTGCATATGATAACAAAGCATGAAGCAAATTATGCTTTGAGAGAGGCCAGCAACCACTACAGAACTCTCAAACACAAAGGTTTCTGGTTTATTTTTGAGATGTAATTCTAACTGTTGTTCTCAGTTTCCATTCAGAGTTTCTTTTGACTGAGTATTAGATATATTCAAGGGGGAAGCCAGGTTACAGAGTTCCTGAAAAGAGGGCATGGACATTTCCCACATCCACCCATTTGGTACACTTGCACACAACTCTGGAGCACATACCTTGAACTGAGCCTCTGGTGGCCCCGTGATAATCACCATCCTCACTTTAGCATCTGGTGCTTCAGCTGGAGCGATCTGTAATGGACCCGTCAAGAGATTATGACACTTTCAGGTGCCACTGATAGAAATGTTACACAGACCAGCCTGGCATTTGCACATGACTTACTGAAATGGTAGAATGAAAGGCTTCTGGAAGTGATGGAGAGACCGTGGGTAACGCAGGTTCATGAATGGCTCCTGTCATAAACTGTGTACATAAGCTGGCCCTAATTTGAGGAGTCCACATGCAGTCTCCCAGCTAATCTTCACTATGTCCTAATCAGATTATTGTCTCTACTCTACAAAGGGGAAAACTGAAAGCTGGAGAAGTTGAGTTACCTGGCCCATGACCACACAGCTAGTAGAGATGGAGAAGGGAGAGCTGGGTCTGGCCCCACTGCCCATGTTATTAACCACTACACCAGTGGTGCTCAAAGTGTGGTTCCTGACCCACATGCATCAGAAACACACATTAGGGGATTCCCATGTGTGTAAGAAACTGCTGTGTTCACAAATTTAAAACTTAGTAAATCCCTCCATAGTACACTCATAGGTTAAGATACGACATAGACTAATGTTAACTTGGCAGGATGGTAAACTCAACTTCCTGGTTTGGGCAGAGTATAGGAAATCACATGAAACCCTGAACTGGGGAAACACTGCAGAGGTTGTTGAAGGGACAGGACACTAGCACTGCCTCTGTCATAGTAAGAAAGGATTTGGGGACCCAGCTGTCAGTTCTTAAGGAAAAAAAATTTGCTATATATTTTCTGTACAAGAAGCAAATTAATTCTTATTACTTAAAAATACATTATTACTATGTAAGAATAGAAGGAAAAAAATACAGTAAAAATGACCTCAAATTTTACCACTTAATATGATCACTATCAGTTCCTTACTTAGTTTACTATGCCTTTCTTTCCCCACACATCTACAACAGAATGTTTTTACTTTTTATGGGGTCATGCTTTCTCCCTCCCCTCTGTCACCCAGAGCCAAATTGATACTATTCCTACTTTATGCTTGGCACTAATTTTGAGTCTATAAAACAGGGAAATAATTACTTCCTTTTACTCCAAGCTCTTAGAATTATCCACAGGGAACCCCTGGAAAGAAGTTAACTATCACCTTTCCAACTAGTTTCCTTTTATAAAAACTACTTTTGTACTGGTACTGTACCGGTGACAGGGCTGGGGCTAAAGGACACTTGTACTGAGGTTAGGAGAAATTGCTCTCTCTCTCAAAGCCTGAAGAAAGCACATGCCCTTTGCCTTACCAAATCTCTTCTGTAGACCTATATTAAAGAATAAGGTTATACATAATAATTTGGCTGAAAGAACTCTGTCCATCATGGCATTATCTATGCAGGATAAATTAGGAACAATCTAAATGTCCAATAGTGAACACAAGTAATTATGGTCTGGTATTTCCAAATATATGCCTACTAAAAGTACATATATAGAAATTTAAATATATGTAAATCCAGCAAAGTGTTAAGGGTGGTGAATCTCCAGATTTATGTATGTTTCAGACTTTTAGGAAACATTTTAACCTCATTTAAAACCAGCAGGAAAACCAGAAAGAAAAGTAACCAAATGTCTAAACCAATTCTTATTCATGAAATGTTTGTTACAGTTTTTTCAAAACAGATCTACTAGGTTCTTTTTGCATGTGTCAAAGGTTTATTTTTTAACTCAATCAGGAAATTAAAATAGTAAAGTTGGTTCACTGCTTTATCTTTTACCACCTTTTCCTTTACCCATTTATTTTTGCTGCATTTCCTGTTTATGTATTGTTACCTTTTGCTACAAGAAAGCATATGAAAACTATTTGTGTGTGTGTGTGTGTGTTCTTCTTTTATTAATTATAAATGGTAAAACACTCGTTAACTCAGTCATATGACCACCATATTAAAAATAAAAACAGTTCCACCACTTCCAAAATGTACTCAGGCTGCCTCTCTGTATTCAACCCCTTCCCCAAAACCTAGCAACCAGGGATTTTCTTCCCCATCCCTATATTTCTGACTTTTCCAGAATTTTCATATGAATAATATCATATAATGAGTCCTTTTGTGTCTGACTTCCTTCTCTTAGCCTAATACCTGAGATTCATCCAACTTGTTCCATGTATCAATAGTTTGTTCCTTTTTATTGCTAACGTAGTATTTATGTACAGATGAACCACAGTTTATCCATTTGCCAGTTCACAAACATTTCCTTCCTCCCATTTTGGGACAGTTATAAATAAAGATGCTGTAAACATTTGAGTGAAGTTCTTTTGTGTACTCTATAGTCTTAAAAAATACAAATTTTTGTAGAAGTTTATAAAACACAACCAAAATAAAACCCCCAAGAGATGGATGTTTTTCTGAAGAAAGCAAGCCTCTGTCAACTTGCATATTCCTTAAAACAAAATGACCCATATATTTGATAACACTATTTCTCAGTATATCAAAATATGAATCTCCAGAAAACACATATCCATTTGGTGGATACCATTAGTTGTCCTCTGATATTTGTAACCCCACTTACCACGGTATTAAAATATTTAGCTGACCACATATGGACTACATTTCCCTGTTGTCCCTTCAGCTGTACCTGATCTTGTGATACAGTTTTGAGCAATGGAATGTAGACAGAAATATCCTCTTGTAGCCAACCGGCCTGCCCTTAGGAGATAGGTTCTTCATGATGTCGTCCTCTCCTACTGGCTGGACCACAGATCTGATAGCACACTGAACAGTGTCACTTGGTACTGTGAGGGACTGAGGCCATGCCTTGGGAAGATGAGCTAGAAGGAATCCAAGTCCAAGGACTTGGTGGGGCAGAACTACCCTTCCTAGTGTTGGATTGCTTACCTTCAGAATGCATTTTCTGGAGAGAGAATTACACTTACTTTATTTAAGCTACTGTTGTTTGGGATTTTCTATCACACCCCTATATAACCTCAGCACAGCACAGACTGCCATATTCAATTCAAATTGTAAGAGAGCAAGAAGACTCATGTTTTTGTGACGTACCTGTACTTAAAGCACCAGGAGAGCCATGGGGGGCAGAACAGTACCTTAATAGAAGCTCCAGCAAAGCGAGAAAGCTGTTTGATGTGCTGTCCCTGCTTGCCAATGATAGCGCCAACAGACAGTGCTGGGATAAACAGATGGACAGTCTCTGTTTCTGATTGCTGTTGGGAGAGATGGACAGGACATACATGCTTATTTGATACAAGTCAGGCTATTACTGTTGACACAGTGATGGATGCCTTCTCATATACTAAAAATACTAGGATAGTTTAGGAAAAACCACCACAGTAAATTGATATGTTTCATAACAGGTCAAGAAGTTATATATTCATCCTGAATATATTTAAAATGTGACTTTACACAGTTTTCTTAAACTTTGAATTAGTCACCATATTAGACTTAAAAGATGAAGTTTAAATAGAATAGAGGGATAAGATTGTGTTTAAAATTAATTCAGATCCACCATCACTATATTCAAGGTGGATTCAAGTAAATGAAATTCTGGGTTACGTATCAACAGATATGACCACATCCAAGCATACCTACTCTACACGTTATCCATGCAGGTTTTGCTTCTTAAACACGTACCTGGGGGAAGTATTCTCAAAGGGAAAAAACAATCTCATTACACATGACTGAATTGTGTCAAACCTTAATACTACCATTCAGTGCTTTCACAACCAAGCACAGGATAGGATTAGAACTAATTCACTTCAGTGGTAAAATGCCCTAACATTCTTTCTCATATAATTCTTCATTCATTCCATCTCTGCCTTTCCTTTGCACTTTACATGTGGATAAATGGGAAAACATTTTGAAGGCTAGCTCCTAAAAGGTTTTTCCTTTTGTGTAATCCTAAATGGATTTTATCTGTATGTTTTCCTCATCTTCCTCCCTCAAGCCTACTGTGCCCTTCCTGAACCTCCCTTCAAACATTCTTGCAAGGCTGAAGGACACACACTCAACAGATCAGTTTGCACTGACTGGGTTCCTAATAAGGCCAATTCCAGGTTGTAATATTACCAGAATGCAGCAGCAGTGCACATACTCATGCAGTGAACACTTCTTTACCTTCTAACAGTAAGAAATGCATGCTTCCTCTTACTATGCTGTTGGACAGTGACTGTAATGGGGTATGTGGTGGGGACTTGATAACGGGGGGAATCTAGTAATCACAATGTTGCTCATGTAATTGTATATTAATGATACCCAAATAAATAAATAAATAAATAAAATACATGCTTCCAAGGGTAAGTTAATTCTAAGAAATTTATTCCAATGAATATTTTAAAAGAATCTTTTCAGAGCAGTTTTAGGTTCACAAGAAAATTGAGGGTGGTACAGAGACCTATAGATGCCAAGAAATACTGTTAAGATGAGCCACACTGAATAGACCAAGAAAATCATAATAATCATAATATACATTTGTTTTTAAAAATCAGCATGTATAAACTAAGGTTTCCAGAGATGTTAAAAGACACTTTGCAAGAAATATAATACATGAAAATAAGTGTACATATGAACTACTTGGTAAGAAACACCTCACAGAATTCTTGAACTTTCTTTTATTCCTATTATATAGGATACTACATAAATTTCGTTCGCAGGTATTCATCATTCCTGTAATATGTGCATATATAGCCATAAAATGGCTGCAGTCTAATTTCTAGTTTTTTAAACTCTTTCCAAGTTCTTAAAAACTCCCAAAGGCATGCCAACAGCTTTGCTTTCAAGCATCTCAGGAGCTAGGGAAATCTTTTAGAATCTGATCATTTTAAGCAGTTCCTGAAAAATTAGTCAAAACAACAGCACTGGGCACATTCATTTTTACTAAATGTGAAAACAAGTTTCTGCTGCTTAATGTTGGTCCACCAAATGACATCACCACTATTCCTGTGCAAAATTACTAGTGGCATTAATGGCTCCATCTTCTCCCTGTGAGCCCAGAGCGGAGGCAGAGAACATGAAGCACTGACCACCACAGGTCTTGGGGAAATAGCAATGATGGATGGCAGAAGCCTACTAGAGATGAATCAGCCATTCCACTTGTCCCTCAACATACACTTAACAGAGGTCGGCTCCATAGGATGTGGTTTATACACACTATCTGGTAGAATTTGTTTTTTAAGACTTCAGTTTCCTTCCTCTGAAGCAAAGATTTTGTTCAACAAATTAGTAAAAACAGTCTAGAAATAACAAGAGGGCTGGGCTAGCTCTTCAAGTAAAAAGTGAACCTTCTGCCTATTTGCAAATTATAATAGGGACATGAGAAAAGGGAAATTGTATTAGACAAGGTAAAAATTATGACACAACAATGATAAATCTGAAAATGTCAAAAATTGGACTAGCAATTACCAAAATCAATCAGAAAAACTTACACTGACCAAAAGCTCTACAATCAATTAATCACCAAAATGAACTGTCAAACCCAATAGTTTTAATTCTTTCAAGCCAAATGTTTGGGAAGAATGACAAAACAATGAAAAGCAAAATCTGTTTCATGGGGTGTGGGGGAGTGGGGAGGAGACAGGTACTAAATAAGCCAAAAATAAATACACGGGAGCACAATACAAATATCATGTTCAAACTTGCTTTCTTAACAGCACAAAAAAACTTGGGTACCTTCCGTTGTCATTCCTATGTCCCCACCTCTTTCTAGTAACAGAGAATTCCTTTAAAGAGACACAACACATTTATCTCTTTGTTGTGTATTTGTGTCTGATTTCCAATTTTTAACTAATTGATGAAATCAAAATTTGTACAATTTGTACCCTTGTACACATCTATTGCATAAATTCTTAGAACTACTGAGTCAGATCTAAGAGGAATATAACTATGATTGGCAGAGGTATACAACAATGCTGTGGGGTAAGTCTGTGAGTTTCCTCTGTGAGGTGCTATGTGTTATTTCATTTACACCCCACAACTGATCCAACGGATGCAAATTGGCATTCCAAATTTAAGGGTGAAAAAAACTTAGCCAGAGAGATGAAGTCATTGGCACAATGTCAGATACTAACTGATGTTGGAGCTAGGATTGAAATCTGGGCTTTTCTATCTCCTAAATCATGTTCACACACAAAAAAGCAGTACATACTCTGCTTCCAACAGGTACAGATGTAATTTCAATTACACATAAAGCTGCTGAAGTTACTCTTTAAAAAATGCACAACAGAACTCTCATTCAAGGAGTGCTGCCCTCCCCTCTTCTATCTGCATGAGTCAAAAGAATTTTTTATTTTGAACAGGGATAACTAAAGACCAAGAATGATAAAATGGGCTCAAAAGGAATACATCATGGGGATGTAATGTACATGACAACTATAAATACTGCACTGCATATTTGAAAGTTGCCTTTTAAGAATACATCTTAAAAATATATGAAGAACTCACATGCCTCAACAACCAAAAAGCAAATAACCCATTAAAAAATGGGCAGAGGATTTCAACACTTTTTCAAAGAAGAAATTCAGATGGCCAACAGGCACATGAAAAGATGCTCCACATCGTTAATCATCAGAGAAATGCAAATTAAAACCACAATGAGATATCACCTCACACTAGTTAGGATGGCCAACATCCAAAAAGACAATAACAAATGCTGACAAGGATGTGGAGAAAGGAGAACCCTCCTACACTGTTGGTGGGAATGTCATGTAGTTCAACATTTGTGGAAAGTAGTATGGAGGTTCCTCAAAAAACTAAAAATAGAATACCATATGACCCAGGAATCCCACTCCTAGGAATTTACCCAAAGAATACAAGTTCTCAGATTCAGAAACACATATGCACCCCTATTACAATGGTCAAGATATGGAAGCAACCTAAGTGTCCATCAGTAGATGAATGGATAAAGAAGAGGTGGTACATATACACAATGGAATATTATGCAGCTATAAGAAAAACAAATCCTACCATCTGCACCAACATGCATGGAGCTGGAGGATATTATGCTCAGTGAAATAAGCCAGGTGGAGAAAGAAAAGTGCCAAATGATTTCCCTCATTTGTGGAGTATAACAACAAAGCAAAACTGAAGGAACAAAATAGCAGGAGAGTCACAGACTCTAAGTGACTAGCAGTTATCAAAGGGGAGGAGTGGAGGAGGGAGAAGAGGATTGAGGGGTATTGTGATTGACATACATGGTGTGGGGGGGATCACAGGGAAGACAGTGTAGCACAGAGAAGGCAAATAATGATTCTGTGGCATCTTACCACACTGATGGACAGTGACTGCAATGGGGTGGGGGTAGGGCATTTGATAATATGGATCAGTTGAAACCACAATGTTGGTCATGTGAAACCTTCCTAAGATTATACATCAATGATACCTTAATTTTGAAAAAAATCAAAGAAATAATTGCAAAAATTGTTAATAAAAAATACATCTTAAAAGTTCTCATCACAAGAGGAAAAAATCTGTATAATACGGTGATGGATGTCAACTAGACTTTCTTACTATGGTGATCATTCTGCAATACAGATTGATCCTTGAACAATGGGTTTGAACTGCGCAGGTCCACTTACATGTGGATTTTTTCAATAAATATATTAGAAAAATTTTTGGAGATCTGCCAACAATTTGAAAAACATTTTTTTTCTAGCTTTATCATAATATATTTATATAACATACAAGATATGTGTTAACTTTATGTTATCAGTAAGGCTTCTGGTCAACAGTAGCTATTAATAGCCAAGCTTTTGAAGAGCCAAAAGTTATACAACAGACTTTTCAACTACACAGGGTGCGGGCACCCCTAATCCCTGCATTGTTGAAGGGATCCACTGTGTACAAATACTGAATCATTGTGCTGTATACTTGGAACTAATATGTCACATGTCACTTAAAACTCAATTTAAAAAAACCCAAAAAGCCCCCAGATTAGATTAACTGAATCGCCAAGGGTGGTGGTGGGTTGGCAGGGAGAATGTGGCTCTACTGTAACAAGGATGAGGAGGATTTGTCGTCTTACATGCATACACCCATCATAAGCATACTTAGGATACTTTGTAACTTAAACCTAAGAACTTCAATGTTTCCATTATGAGAATAATATAACCACAGAAACGTTTTCAAGAAGAAAAATCTGTAATTCCTTCGTCTTTACCTGACAGTTATTTTGCTACATCTGAGGATGCTATTTTAAGATCTTCAGAATGTT